GCTGAGGTTGTACGTGCTCGAGGCGAAGAAGAATTCGCGGCCGCACGAGTTCTCACTTGTTGGTATCAGCTGTTTTCCCTTATCACCTCACTCTCACCATTCGAAGTGGAGAGAGTTAGTAGTGGAACAACCGCACCATCAGGCAACCATTAGAAATGAAGTTGGGCGTAGTGGTCGCCAGGTGGGCGGGGTGGCCGACTCTTCACGAGCGGGCGCCGCTATTCTCTCGCATTTTTGAGTTGCGAAACTAGTACGTCCACCATCCTCATAGGGTGAGCTACGATATCCAAAGAGGGCGTGGAAACAACAAATGAACGTGGGCGCTGCCTTTGAGTTACTAGTTCCAGCCAAGTCCAGCAAGTATTCCTTTTCTTTAACTGCATTAAACATTGAATAGTAATAAAAAATGGAAGAACTATTGCAGTATCAAATACAAATAGGTCTCCTGTGTAGTGAGGATTTATTGCAGAATTAACCCGATTCCTAGGTATGCATTTTAAGGGTTCGACTGGAATCTTGTCTTCAAATGGGAATTCTTGACAGGGAAATTGAAAGACGAGCGTCACGCACATCCAACTGCTCCAATAAAGTTCGTTCACGCTCTCAACTTTTTCTCAAGGCGTTTCGTAAAGTCTTTTCTTCTTATTTTTAACTTCGTATTCTCTTTTTCTTGGGCATCGCTTGATGTTCGCTAATCTAAATCTAGCAAGTGCGGGAAATTATTTCTGGTTTTCTATGCAGAAGTGACCATAACATCTTTTGTTTTTCTGCTACTTATTTGTATATTTTTCAGGATGTTTTGGCAAAGCTATGTTTGCTTAGGCACTTCACTTGTTTTTAAGGTCTCCAACTATGGCTGGTGGTTTATTTGCGATCAAAAAGAGTTGGTTCGAAGAGCTTGGTACATACGATATGGGTATGGAAGTTTGGGGAGGCGAGAACCTAGGTGAGTTCAAACGATTCCGGGAAAGCGAAGAGACAAGCGTTTTTGTTGTGATATTCTTTCTACTATATTTCGCTCAGCAAAGCGCGATATACTTGGTGCAGCCATGTTTGTGGTGAGAAGCAGCCTTTTCTTCTTCAGAAATGTCGTTTCGTGTTTGGCAATGTGGGGGTTCCTTAGAGATTATGCCATGTAGTCGCGTCGGACACGTGTTTCGTAAGCAACATCCCTACACGTTTCCGGGAGGGTCTGGAAATGTTTTCCAATCGTAAGTGTTTCACTGTTAAATTTCCTTGGCTTTTGCTTAATCCTGTGTTCGATTCTAGGAATACGAGACGAGCAGCCGAGGTATGGATGGATGAATACAAAGCAATCTATCTGAAAAATGTGCCTTCTGCGAGATATGTGAAATTTGGAGAGTGAGTTTGTTTTCTTGTCTTCTATGATGCGTTGTTGTATAACCGTCCGTGTGCTATACATCCTGGGATTCGATTTTCAATACCTGGGGTTTGTTTGATCTGCTTTCGGATTCAGCGTTCTCAAGAGCTGAGATTTTTTAGAT